TTTCTTTTGGAGACTGGTTGTCAGACCACATCGATGTGAGGATTATTAAATATAATCAAACATTTTTGTTTAAATTAAGAAATTTTTAATCAATTTTTTGTAAATTGTAATTTGAAAACCACGTGGTCAGTTTTAATAAAAAAAGATAGGAAAATCCAAAGTTGTTTTAATAATTTCTGTTAAATAATTGCAAATATTTTCAGGGCTGGTAGATATCTCGCTAAGAGTTAAGTAAGTTATTTACGAGTTTGGTTTGGTTGCGAAATTGATTTATTTTTAAAAAATTTGAGAGCCGCCGGATTTTTTCTGTATTTCCCTCCTTTTTAGTGCAGTAATCATAGATTAAGTCGTAACCATGATAATATTAGATATTAAGAAATTATCCCGGAAGAAAATTTGTGGTGAGCAGGCAGTTTTCTAAAATAATTTTTTTAAAAGAAAATGCACAATTTTCAACATCTTTTTTTTGCGATTAATCTATATAGAGGCGATATATACCACCCCTAAAAATATTTGCAGTTATTTAAGATTCACCTTGTATTAACATATTTCTAATTTTTTCGCATTTACAGTATTTTATTGAGTTTTTGCCTGAAGGTTCAAAACTGGAGTTTTTGTTACCATACCTACACCCAAATTCTTTATACTGAATTCTGGCTGCATGTTTCATTTAACCTGGCATCAGCCAATGATTAAATCTGATTTTTTATTAAATTTAAATATTTTTTTTTTTTCAGTAGACAATTTTACCGATGTAAATTTTACCTTTGTATTTAGTGGAGTGCTTTAAGGGATAAAGAGTGCTTTAAGCTCTTATGGGATACAAACCTCGGGATTCATTTACTGTGAACGAATTTTTATAAAACTTTTTGCATTGTGTTGTTAATAATATATATTACAAAGTTTACCCATTTAAATTCGTTGCTTTCACTTTAGTATTTAAATAAACACACATATACAAATGCATACATACTAGGGTGTCCGTTATTTCCCAAGTTGATATTTTTTTTGGTGCCGCCCTCTGAAGTTTTAGTTTTTGGTCTAAAAAAAATTATCCAATGTAAAAAACCTCTAAATTTTTAATTTAAACCGTGCCGAAATCGTGATACTTTTCCATTTAAATTACATGGGATTTTCTGACCTTTTGCATTTAATTTTTTATCTCCAAAGCAAATGAACCTACAGCTTCGACAAAGACACATACTAATACAAAATTTTACGCTCTACAAAATGTCTCTTAGGTTTTTTCCATAAAAACATTCCTTTAAAAGTTATTCGTGGTCAAAGTTATGCACATAGTTTATAATCAAATTTTTCTATCATTCACTGGAAATTTTAATTGCTCCTTTTGATTTTGACTAAAAAAGGATCTAGAGCCATACTTTTTTCAATAAAACAATATTTCTTTACCAACTTAAATATGGAAAACTAATATTGCGCCATCTATGATCAATTGATCAAAACTATAATTTAAGGTTATTGTTTCATTGCCTTTCAGTGTTCGTAAACATGTGTGTCAAATAAAAAGAATGAACAAATTTCGAGTGGTTTTTATCCTAAATATTACTTGTATCGAATTAATTAAATTAAATTAAATTAATAATTGATTTAATAAAATAAAATAAAATTATTAATTAACTAATTATTAAATTAAATTAATAATTAATTTAATAAAACCATGATCATAGATGGCGCAATATTCTTCTTCTTCTTCCTGTGCCTTGTGCTTAGCCGCACGTTGGCGAATTGTCTGTACTCTTCATCCAATGTGTAGAGTGCCGTTTTCGGCTCTTCGAAATATGGGGTCTGCGTCGCTGATGTTACACCAATCCCGTATGTTTCTTAGCCAGGAATGTTGTTTTCTTCCTGGGCCTCGCCGTCCCTCTATTTTTCCTTGTAGAATCAGCTTAGGAATGTAATATTTGTCTCCTCTAAGGATATGGCTGAGGTATGAGACTTTCAACGGCGCAATATTTGTTTTCCATATTTAAGTTGGTAAAGAAATATTGTTTTATTGAAAAAAGTGTGGCTCTAGATCCTTTTTTAGTCAAAATCAAAAGGCGCAATTAAAATTTCCAGTGAATGATAGAAAAATTTGATTATAAACTATGTGCATAACTTTGACCACGAATAACTTTTAAAGGAATGTTTTTATGGAAAAAACCAGAGAGATCTTTTTTGTAGAGCGTAGAATTTTGTATTAGAGTGTGTCTTTGTCGAAGCTGTAGGTTCATTTGCTTTGGAGATAAAAATTTAAATGCAGAAGGTCAGAAAATCCCATGTTCTTTAAATGGGAAAAGTATCATGATTTCTCGGCACGGTTTAAATTAAAAATTTAGAGATTTTTTACATTGGATAATTTTTTTTAGACCAAAAATTAAAACTTCAGGGGGCGACACCAAAAAAAAAATTAAACTGGGGAAATAACGGACACCCTAATACATACAAGATGGCTCCGTGTTCCGAAAAAGCTCTGTATCAAGATTTCTATTTGAGATTTTCACTCCAAACCTTTCACAAAATATGTGTTTAATGGTAGCTCACATTTCAAAAATATTTTTATAGACATACAGGGTGAGTCAAATATATTTTTACTTTAAACTCTCAAGTTTTAGTTTTTCAAATGAAATGCTTTATATTTGTTCAGAGAATTTTCTATAAAATTCCGGTTCCAAAAATACCTTAATACCATAGAGTATACTTAGTGGTTTTTTAGTTATAACCACGTCCATGGGGACGTCAATCTAGACGTCCAGAAACTTTCGTATGAGAAGTTCTAATCGAGGCGATCGACTTATTGTAAGTTTATCGCTAAGAAACCGCCGCGCCGTTTGCCAGCTTTCTAAATTTATATTGAATTGCACCTAAGGAACATACATATTAACTAACGGACTATAAGAAGAAAACTATATATAAGAATCGCTTTTTAAACGTCTTCGGCGCTGTGCGATACCTAGTCGCTATTTGGTTTCGTTCATCCCAGTCTTCGACACGCAGATTCCTTGAGGTCATCGCCTTCTTGACACCCTCCATCCAGTTTGTCCTTGGCCTTCCCCGTGTCCTTCTCTTTTTTGGAAGCCAGTTTAGTACCTTTTGCATGTTGTTTATCCTTCTCACATGTCCATGCCACTTCAGTTGGGCAATCTCTATTTCCTCTACTATAGTTTTCTGTCTATCTATTTTGTCCCTGATTGTCTCGTTTCGTACTCTGTCCAGCCCTGATGTTCGTGCTGATCTCCTTATCGAGTTCCTTTATACCGCCAGTAGTTGTCTTTTGTTATTCTCCATTTACCTCCATGTTTCCGCCCCAAAGAACAGATTGCTCTTGATTATTGCATCATAGATCCTGAGTTTTCTGTCTTTATCTATTTCGTCTGAATAATATACTCCACATTATATTATTCAGACATTTTATTGCATTTCTGGTCTTGACTATTCAAGAAGAAGACTAAATGAAGCAAATATTATGCCAAGAAGGTCTGCTTCGGGACCAGAACTTACTAGATCTATTGATTAGGAACAAAAGCAAAGGCATGGTCTTTATGTAAAAATTACGAAAAAATATTAGTGTCTTCTTCAAAAGCGAATATCTCCAATAAACATAAAGCTAATGAGATGAACCAAAAAACAAACTATCGAGAAAAGATGTATCTAAATGATAAAATGAATGAAAAATGTTAAAACAGAAATTTAAAAATGAAATTTTTAAATTTCTTGCTGTTTAACATATTCCACAGGGTGTTTCAAACTTTTACCAAAATATCAACATTTTGTTTTCCCTCGTATAATTAACAGATGGGGAGTTTCGTGTTTAATTTAGAAAGAGATACTAAAAAGTCAAATAATTTGGCTACATACTGATTAAAAACTCATCAAAATTGGCCCACTAGAAAAAAATATATTAAACTTTAAAATATATCATAGTTTTAAGGTGTCCATTTTTACTTCCGGTGGATGTATTTCAAAAACTATACATTTTAGTCATATACTTTTCTAATGAAACTCGCCTTTATTTTTTTACCAGAATCTGAAAATCAATTAATATACAGGGTGTTCTATTACAAAAATCACAACTTTCATGTGTAACTTTTTTTGGGGACACCCTGTAGAACTCTATATAATTTTAGAAAATGCTTTAAATTGACTTACATAAGCTCACAAAATTTTACTTCAATACAAACTTTTGTTCTCCTTGCAAAAACCGCGTCGTGTATGACGCGCCACCCTGTATAATTCGATTTCAATCAAAACTTCAATGATTAGAATATAAGCAGTATAGCTTATGCATTAGATTAATCTATTTCAATAAATTTACTTTGAAAACAAATTAAAAAAATTAAGAAGGAAATAAATAAGAATTTACTAAAATTACTAAAATAAAAAATTAAAAGCAACGGAAAAAAATGGGTAAACATTTTGGTATTTTATCTATAAAATGCAATACAGAAGGTTTCACATTAATACATTCACAGTAATTGAATTCCGAGGTAAAAGTCTCTGGGCACTCCACTAATATAATTAGTAGGATATAAAAGAAAATGTCTGCTTTAAAATATGAATATTATTTATAAATTATAAAAACAATGCTAAAGCTCGAGTAGTAGGGAGAATCAGTAGAAAATTGAAGTAAAAATTGTCTTTTAATTGTTTAATAACTTTAATTGCTTATACAATTTATGGATATAATAATTATCTTATACCTACTTATAGTTTTATAACAAAATGTTATGGGGGTTCTAAAGTTCTTGATTTTAAACATAATATTTTTCCATATATTTACTGTCAATATTTATTTGTGATTGATATATTTCATAAAAAGTACAATGAAGTGGAATTTTATTTTATTTTTTGCAAAGGGGCAGTTAATATAAAAAAAAATTATAGGTGCAAAAAATAAAATAAAAACATTAAAAAATGCAGAAAGGTAAGTATATAAATAGGATATGTTTTGCATGTTTAAACATAATTTTTTGAGTAAGAAATATTTAACATTAATTAATGCTTTTTTAACTAAAATTTAATTTGATCATATTTATAGTTTCAATTAGAACAATATGCATTTTTTCTTAAATTCTATGCTTTATTAGCTTCTGCCAGATGAACTGCTCTGAGAAGGACTAGGTGTGTTCATGTCACTGTCAGAAAGTTTTGGCATATCTGTGGTTGTTGACGATGGCCTGTCGTAGAGGTAACTTGTAGGCCTGTAACCATTATCGTAGTCGTAGGGATTTTTGGCCCGGTAGGATCCATAACCAACTCCGTACCTGAAAAAAAAGAGATTAGTGTTACAGTTGAAATTTTAATTTAATTTTATAACTTATACATTTAAAATATACGTAATACATAAGTTTATCTACAGTTTGTCAAAGAGATCTAAAATACCGACGCATCGGTAAGGGGACCGCAGTTCTCATGTAACTTGGCTGATTTTATTCATAAAATATCCAGGGCTTGCGGCGTTTTATGAAAATCCACTCACAATGTTTTTCAAAAGCAGCTCACCCCGTTTTTATTTTTTTTTCAGATTAAAAAAAAATCGTATTTTTAATAATAACTCAATTTTTTCAAATGGAACTTGGTTCGCTCGTTAGCATATTAAAAAAAAGGTTTTACTAATAAAAAATATGTGTGTTCATAAACTCAGTTTATGAACACAGAGTTTATGAACATACTCTAGATTGGAAATTAAAATACTATTTTTTGTGCCATAAGCGATCACTATATTTTAATGCCATATTTAATGGAATTTAATCGAAAACAAATATAAAAGTTAGTTTCCTTAAAAAAATGGCAGAAAAAATTACTAAATAATAAATCATGACAGACCCTAAGTGAATTCATTTTCAAATAAGACAGCCATGAATTGTCCTCAAGTTCACAAACCTCGTAAAACAGTGTGTCTTCATAGTAACCTTGTATAAGATAAACAAGGATAGTAGTAATATTCCCAAAAATGTCATTATTCTATTGCTGTTCGTATTTAAGATAAAAATAAAATATTTTTTTCGTAATCTTTGTACAGTAATATCTTGCTTATTAGCTTTTTCCAAATATGCTAATGAGCCACCCTTGTTCCAATTGAAAAAATTGAGATATTATTAAAAAGAGGATTTTGAGCGTCTTTTAGCCGGCCAGGACAAGACTCGAAAAACATTAGACGATCAAATCTAGTTTTCCAAGGCTCCTTGATTAGAAATTAGTGTTGTTAACATAGCCATGGTACTACGATTTTGTTTAAATGAAAATGTGAAAAGTTGACATAATATGATATATCATTCTATTCAGACTGTCATTTTCTATAAAATAAAGTAAAAATATACCCGGCAGCCATTTAAAAATCAAAGGTTGTAGTCATTTCCGGTGAAACAAGAAGTGACTAAAAACAATTGAATACATCAATCAATCCTAATTTATGTCATATACTCACATACCATATCTCGTTTTTTATCTGAAAAAAAAAATTAAAATGTTATAGGGTTGAGCCACTTTTGAGACGAACGTTGTGTGTTAATAGAAGTTCTTACAGATGTTATCATTTCGTTGATATAAAGCTATCACCAATAAGTCCAATCAAATTAAGTTCAAAAACCAAACATTAATAAAAAATACACATCGATCACAAACTGTTCAAAATATCCTATCCTCTGAGCCTAACCCTTATTATATTACCGAGTCATATTTATTTGTATATTTTAAAAAGTCAAAATATGTTTTGCTAATATATCACAAAATTAAAAACTAAATAAAATAATTTGAGAGGTTCTAAAAAAATTGGTTATTTTAAACTTGTGTTGACCGCATGCCATCTTAGATTTGATTTTTTTTTAAGTAATATACATTAATATAATATATAATTACAGTCCAATATTTTTAACCGCAATAATAATTTGTAAATTTTTTAGCACAAACAAATCTAAGAGCAAACTCTATTATTAAACTTTATAATGTCATAGAACTGAATTTTATCACACTCTCCTCATCCATTTCAACACATCCCAAAAGTGTTGATAATTCTCAAAAGAGTATAGCCCGTTACCCCTTTATTCGAAGCAATAACACAAAAATTTCGAGCAGAAAACCAATTTAAACTTTCCATATATATCTAACTCGTAACGGCCTAATAAATAGCCAATAATAGCCGAAGTACAGTGTAAGATAAGGCATTGCCATACGTTTCCGTTAAATCCGCGTTTTCCAATATAGATGTATATACGGCTGAATCGAATTCCATTATCTCCCAGTTAAGTTGTAAACGGTTACGAGTAAGAAATTACTTTGGAAAATAGCTCGGGCGGATTTATATCCTTCAATTTACTGTTTGTTCCTTAAGAATAATTATTATATAGGAATGATTCAAGAAGTTAAAGTTTAGGGAACCGTTAAGTTGAAATTACTCTCTAAAATAGTTATAAAATTTTAAGCATTTAATTGCCCAGTCAAATTAGACAAGGTGGAAGAAAATCCCACACTTTTGAAAATGGTCTTAAATGATTCCTCTAGACTTGGGCTGATATATGTGTCAAAAGTCCCCGAAGATAGTTGATGAGCTCAAGGAGAGAGGAGGGATTAAATGTCACTTTTATAACTTTTTAGCTTATCTCGGAAATTATGAAACCTACGAAAAAATACCCTATATAGAAAATTGAAGGTCAGAAAATTCTCTACAAAATTGGTTGAAGGCATTTTTTTCATAGGTCTAACCTTTTGAGAATTACAGGGTTGACAAAATTAACACTATTTCTAATATTGTATTTTCGCATCTAAAATCTAGTTAAAATCTAAATTTAACCTGTCATATTAATAATGGTAATATTAAGGGGTCCTTATAATATCCTTCAAGTCTTCATTGCATCCTGACTTTTTATGTTTAATTGGAGAGCACTAGTGCACACAGGACTTAACTATAACTACACACAAGTTAAAGATTAACGTATGCCTGCCTTACGGTAAAAAAGTACATCATAGCATTTAGCGCAGCTGCAAATATTGTAGAAAGTATACGAAAACCAAGGACATGGTTCATGGTCCACGATTGCTCAGAATTTAAGATTTCTATGCCTGCCTGTAGATTTTCCTAATGTTAAGTAGGACGAAACATTTGAGGCATTAGCAATTGAGGTCTGGTTCCATGAGGCTGTATATTGTGGTGATATTCTACATGAGGTCTACATCCTTCCTGTAGGTACAATTGACGTGGTCTGCAAGATGCTGGTTCATTCAAAACCAATTATTGAATGAACCAGCATCTTTCAGACCACTCAGTCTCCTGGACGTGGAAGGAAAACTGTATGAACATCTCATACGAATTAAACTGGAAGAAGAAATTGCTCACAAAGGGGGATTCTCAGAAACGCAATATGGCTTTCGTGGAGAAAGGCAGGCTGTAGATGCTATACTTAAAGTAATGCACATAGCGGAAGAAGCTGCTGTATATACAAGTAAGCATCGTAGACTTTGTGCAATGATCACAATAGATGTCAAAAATGCCTTTAACAACGCATCCTGGCAACTTATATTGAATAACCTACGAAAGAGAAAAATAGATCGATGTCTAATCGATATTATAGTATCGTACCTATCAGAGAGAAAATTATAATCGAGGCCGAGAGGTTACAAAAAGCTGTGATGGTTAATAGCGATGTACCACAGGGATTAGTCTTGGGACCTATGCTCTGGAATGTACTTTATGGTGATCTACTGAGGATAGAAATACCAGATAAAACAACTCTAGTCGCTTTCGACTTGCCGTAGCTTCACATAAAACAGAAGCAGTATTATTGACCAAAAAAAGAAAAATATCCCCGGTACATTTTTATATACAAGGAGCTGTAATTTATCCAAGTAATTCTTTGAAATACTTAGGAGTGTGGCTGGACACCAAACTTAATTTTCTGACCATATTAATAAATCGATCACCAAGGCTGAAAAAAACTGTCACCACTTTAGCCTTGCTCATGCCAAACGTGGGAGGAGCTAGAGCATCCAAAGGAGAGTGCTTGCTAGTGTGGTACACTCGCAGCTGTTATATACTGCCCCGGTATGGTATAAAGTCATTAAGTATCGATAACTTACACAAAGACTACGCAGAATACAAAGTATCATGGCTATTAGAGTATGCAGCACATACAAAACGGTATCTGGAGAGGCTATAGGGGTTTTATCTGAAATAGAACCTATTGAACTGCTCATACAGGAACGGTATGATAGATACCATGGGATGGATAAGGATCTAGCGAGGACAAAACTTCTTCAACAGTGGCAGGACAAATGGAATACCGGAACATATGGCAGATGGACATACAAGTTAATACCCGATATTCAATTATGGTTGAACAGATCATACGGAGAAGTGGATTTCTTCATGAGTTAAGCATTGTCTAGCCATGGGCGTTTTAAAAAATATTTGTATGATCGTTGTAGGGTTGATAGTGGCACCTACATATAGTTCAACAATTCCGTATGAAAGCCGGTAAGGACTTCGACTTACCCACATTTATCATATACCTAGTTGAAGAGGAAGAACAATGGACGCTAATATATCGGATAGTCCGAAATATCATAAATTGTAAAGAGAGCGAAGAAAGACAAAGAACATGATGAGATAAATCTAGACACCATTTACACTGAAGCAATGCGAGAGCGGATTCCAGTGTAAAGTGGTAGTTGGAGGAGGGTTCCGGCACTACCCAACTTTGGGTGTCTTATGCAAGATTTCTTCCCTCCTCAACACAAAAAAAGGTACAATTGACGTAAGTGTTAATATGTATTTATATGCACTACCTGTATCTACACTACCAATTTTCAAATCAGTCTTCCCTCGTAGAATTTCAAAAAGTTTTAAAAGCGCATACGAAAGTGTGATTTCTGACACTTCTCAAAATACAATAATTGAATACAGTAATGCTATCCACGTACATAACAACTGACTTCATCTAAGGAAATCTGGGCTCCCATGACTCCTCATATTTAAAATTTTCGATATTATTCCATATTATCCATTTTAAACAAGTAAATTGTATTCAATAAAAAAGTGATTGTAATTTACTATTTATAATAATGCATATATCGTACTTTTTTAATTCAGTAGGTCTTTCAAATTCTTTTTAAATTTTGTATATTATCGTATTATATATTATGAAATTTAAATTACAAAAAATCTATGTTATTAAAGGTAAGGTGCTTTAATTTTCATTAAAAGATCTTTGAATTAAATAATTTAATGAAGGCATCTCGCATTTCCAACACAAAAATTTATTCAGAAACA